TTCTACAAGCAACGCCTGATAATCCTCCTACACATACAATAAAAAAATCAAGTTTAATTTATAAGTAACATTAATGAAATTAAATGAAATAAAAATAAATAAATAAATAAATAGCCACGTGATTGTAACGCCGCAACTTATCAGTTGCCACTCAATTTTCACGCCACAACATGTCATTTGCTACATGAAAATCACGTCACATAATTGCTTAAAAAAATATATATATAAACATAAATTTACTTACCAGGGCTTTTTTTGTGCGCTCGTCAGTAAATCCTCCCGATTTCTTTGTCCGAGTCTCCTTAACCAGCTCCGTCATCAATGGTTGTCTCCCCAAACGCTTAGCCTAAATATAAAAATTAACTTAAATTAATAATATGTTATAAATCCAAATATGACCTTAAAAAGTGGTAATAATTACCATGCGTCGAGCATGCTCAGCAGTACTAATACTTCCAACAGCATTAATGCAACCCCCTTTTTCAGATGCCCTCATCTTCTTTGCAATTTCAGATTTAGCCTTAAATTCATCTGATTCCCAATACTTAAGAAGTTGTTCAAAAACTTCTTTGCCTATCCATTTGGGACGAATGCCCAAAAGGTGCCAATTCTCTCTAACACGTCGTAGCATGTCAGAAAGTCGTCTTGAACTCCTCCCAAAATAATTTTTTTTTACTTTGTTATGGTTCAGGGGATCCCAAACACATTTTTCCTGCAATATTGTATGACATTAAAATAAATAGTTAGATAAATTATAACAATAATGAAAAGGTCATTTAAATAAAAATAACTTAAGAAATAAATTAATTATACCTGAAATTGCTTGAACCATTCTTCTTTATCGGAAACTTCTCTAAAACTCTTCAAAAATGTTGTATAATTCTGTTGAATTATATAATTGATAACCTTAGCAGCAGTCCGACTCGGCCCGAAACTAAAACAACAATAATTGAATTAGCATAATTAATTATATAAAGTTATATTAAAAATGGAAATGTGTACTTATAATTAAAAATCAATAAATAAGAAACTTACGAGATCCCTTCAGGCCATATCCAAAATCTCCCATCAATGGTATGAATCTCACTCGGATCATCATCCCCTCGAAGATCTCTCCCATCTATCTGATCATCATCCCCACCAAGATCGTCATCGTCTGACTCTGTGTGGGATGTGGGGGTGTGACCAGTCTGTGTGGGTCGTGAAGAGGTGGATCCTCCAGGCTGCTAGACGGATGGGGGCATCTGAGTAGGAAGTGGGGTGCTGGATCCTCCAGGCTGCTAGACGGATGGGGGCATCTGAGTAGGAAGTGGGGTGCTGGATCCTCCAGGCTGCTGCACGAATGAGGGCATTTGTGTGGGAAATGGAAAACTATGCTGGAAGGATGAGGGCACCTGTGTCTGCTGGAAGGATGGCACCTGTGTCTGCTGGAAGGATGGCACCTGTGTCTGCTGGAAGGATGAGGGCACCTGTGTTTGCTGGAAGGATGAGGGCACCTGTGACTGCTGGAATGGTAAACCAGGTGAGGCCCCAGATGGACTAATAAAACATGTACTCCCAGATGGGAACTGAAGAGGACTCTGAGATGATAGTAATGGAGTAAATGGCATAGTACTGTCCATGGACATATGATGAACCTGACTCTGCGGGGGAGGACACGTGGCTGAGTGAGGTGACTGGCATACTACTACCCTTGGATGCCTGGGCTTCCTACCACTATCACTAGGACCTTTACCCTTATTATCTTTGGGTGGCATTTTTACCTAATTAAAGAAAATACAAGTTAACATATACATATTCTCATGAATACATATTCATTAAATCATTCAATAAATGGTTCTTTGAGTAAAATTACAAGACACAATTCTCATGAATACATATTCATTAAATCATTCAATAAATGGTTCGTTAAGTAAAATTACAAGACACAATTCTCATGAATATAGGTTCACTATTCTGAATCATCATGCTCGTCATCCATTTCATCATCGTCATCTGATGTGATACTATCCTCAGATCCAGAATCTTCATGATCTTCATGATCTTCATCCTCATCAACTTGATTCCCCTCAACCATTGTATCAGACAAACTTGTAGTGTGTTCATCTGGAATCACATCATTAACTTCAACTTCATCCACTTGGTAAGCAACATCCTCCACTAGATCGTCAGTTTCAATATGACCCAATGGTTTTGTTTTTATTACAACACAACACCGACGTTTACGTGGCACAAATGAAGGATAAGGAACATAATAAACTTGCCTAACAATATTTGACATTATGAAAGGGTTGTACTCTTTGTACCTCCGGTCCATTTGAATCTCAACAGTACCATATGTCTTATCTATTTTTGTGCCTCTAGTTGGATCATACCATTCACAATAAAACAAGACAACTTTATTTTCCGAGTCCAAGTAATTGTATACTAACTCGTAGATATGTTTAACAAAACCATGGAAGTCATCTTCACCACCATCTGTAACTCCTTTCACAAATACGCCACTGTTTATGGTTTTTTTCCCTTCAGTCCATTCATGAGTGTGAAATTTATATCCGTTCACGAAGTATGTGTGCCATTTGTTTTCACTTTGACGAGGGCCATTAGACAAGTTTCTCAAATGGAGTATTTCTGGAGTCGGTGCAACAACCCTATACAATTTCTCCTTGAACCATGTTGGAAATTGGGCATGAATGACACTAGATGTTGATTGTACACCGGTACTTTCAAAGTAGGCGTTGTTAAATTCCCTAAAAAGAAACACACTATAAGTTTCAAGGTAATCAATTTTATATATTCACACTGTAAATAAAATTAAGAAGTTGGATTATACTTACTCAAGATAAGGTTTAACTTCAATGCAGTTGATCAAGACATGAACATGTGCAGATTGCATTTCTTGCTGGGTCAACCAATGCTCACCCTTCTTTCCAGAGGGACGACCTGGAAGCCCGAAGACTGATAAGGTGTACTGACTTCTTTCGATAACATTTACAGGATTCCTTATGATTCTTGGAGTTAACATCAAGTGCTTGAAATAGTGACTGCAAAAATGTGAAGTTTCTCGATGCAAGTAATGTGCATATATTGATCCTTCTACTCTAGCTTTATTTTTCACTGATCTCTTTGAATCACCCATGAACCTTTCAAACTGGTACATCCACCTATATTGAACAGGTCCTCCTAGATAAGCCTCATATGCAAGATGCACAGGTAGATATTCCATGGAGTCAAAAAAACCAGGAGGAAATACTTGTTCCAACTTACAGAGAATGACTGGAATATTTTGGTCCAACTTAATGATGTCATCCACTCTTAAAGCGGAAGCACAAATATCTCTAAAAAATTGACTAATTTCAGTGAGTGGATTAAGCACATGTTTGGGTAGAGAACCGAACGCAATTGGTAGAAATTGTTCCATAAAAACATGGCAATCATGACTTTTCATACCATGCAACTTCCCAGTGTTAGCATCAGCACACCTTGCTAAATTTGAAGAATACCCGTCGGGCATTCTCAAACCTTTTAGCCATCCACAAACCGCTTTAGCTTCTTGGGGGGTCAGACTGAAACAAGCTTTGAGTTTAAATAATTTTCCATTTGGTTGAGGCTTCAATTCTAACTCTTTACGATTACACCAAATTTCCATGTCTTGTCTAGCCTTCACATTATCTTTTGTTCTGTCTTTAACATCCATCACTGTGTTAAATACGTTATCAAAAAAATTCTTCTCAATATGCATAACATCAAGATTATGGCGCAACCAATTATCTTTCCAATACGGGAGGTCCCAAAATATACTTCTTTTTGTCCAATTATGTGTGACCCCATATCCTTCAATTCTACAAGCTTTGCCAGTATCTGTAAACTTTGGAAGTTCACAAACTTGGTTCCATATAGCAACTGGTGCCAGTCGAGGCGGAGGCATATCTGTTACCCGTTCGTCCTTTTTGAAATTTGTCTTGTTTTTTCTAAAGGGATGATTTGATGGTAGGAATTTGCGGTGACAATCAAACTACGAGCTTTTCCCCCCTTTTTCCAATGTAAACGCCTTAGTGCATTCCATGCAATGCGGACAACCCATTCTACCATGCGTACCCCAACCAGACAACATGCCATATGCTGGAAAGTCGTTACACTACAAGAAAATTAGTGTTTAACGACACAAAAATTGCGACAGTTATGTGATAACTGTCGTAATTGACATATAGAGACAATGTTTACGACAGTTGACACCAACCGTCCCTAATATTTATTTTGTGACGGTATATTTAACCATCATAATATTATTATTACGACGGTAAAACAACCGTCGGCCCCCATTTAACACTTTTAACATTGATTTTTCACCAACAACTAGTCACGACGGTAAAATTAACCGTCCTAAAAGGCATATCACGACGGTAAAGCACCCGTCGCACCCTTAAACCTTTCACGACGGTAAAATTATCCGTCCTAAAATTCATTTCACGATGGTAAAACAACCGTCGCACCCAAAACCTTTAAAAATCTCTTGCTAACTTATATATTTTATCTAATGTCCTCCTGCATCACTATTCTTCGAACATCTCTCATCTTCCAACCGGTAAGTTTTCTATAACACTTTTTCTTTGTTCTCATCTTCACATATCTCTCTCATTCTTTAACATTGATTTCACCATTGGAGATTCACATGAATCTTAGGGTTGAGCTCTTTGTGATTCAAACATCACAACAAGCATTCATATCGACATTAAACCCAATCACCAACAATAAACCCTAAAACCCCAATTTATTCACGATTCAATGAGCAATACAAGTTATAGCGTTCATAATCACAAGGGGAAAGGGTATCGAGTAATAACACAAAGAAAATAGACAGAAGGGAATAACGATTTAAAACCCTACAACATACAACATCTTCAACATTTGTTGTATTCTTTCCCTCTGCACAATCGGTATTGTATTTATCCTGTGCTGATAATGAAAAAGGAGCCTTAGAAAGACTAGTTGAACCTCTGATGAGTCTTGTAAAGTCTTATGAGGGTGGAAGAGAGAGCCATGCCCATAAAATTGTACAATCTCTTTTCGAAGAGTATCTCTCAGTCGAAGAACTATTTAGTGATAATATACAGGTTAGTGTGATTATTTGATTGCTTGTACTAATTTTATGTGTGCAACTTAATCTGTTATGACCTTTTGACTTCTACCAACCAAATTAGCTTTTCTAGATGATGTTCAAAAAATGCATGATTAGTTGTTTTTCTTATTTAGCTTTTACAACACACTGGAATCAACTATTCGTTGTATGTCTCTGTGCTCATAACAAAAAACCCATCAACTCTTTTATTTTTCTTCATTTTTATGTTCATTTCATTGAACTATTTGTTTATCATTCAACTACTTTTAAGCTAAGAAGGAATTTTTACATAAAAGACGTACAATGTATTTCTAATTATTCAGTTTCCCCGAATATTCATAACAATTCCCCTTTCCCCTGCCATCTAGGCTGATGTAATTGAACGACTCCGTCTTCAATACAAGAAAGATTTGTTGAAGATTGTAGATATTGTGCTCTCTCATCAGGTATACACTTTTATAACATACTCAGCTTGAGTGATTTTCCTCCTGGATGTCTTGTTAACACGGTATTGCAATTATATTAACTGCATTTCATGGGTTTCAGGGTGTCAAGAGCAAAAATAAGCTGATACTGCGACTAATGGATAAACTGGTTTACCCTAATCCTGCTGCCTATAGGGATCAATTGATCCGATTCTCCCAACTCAATCATATTATTTATTCTGAGGTTGGTAATGCTATATAGAGGTTTCTTTGACCTGCATCATGTGATATTTTAAAGTGTTACAGTGCCTCTTTTAGTATTTATTTTGTGTATGATATTTTTAATTTCTTTAGATCATTTTGACTCGAATCCTAATTTGTGATCATCTTGACGCAGTTGGCTCTTAAGGCTAGTCAACTTCTTGAACAAACTAAACTGAGTGAACTTCGATCCAGCATTGCACGAAGTCTTTCTGAACTAGAAATGTTTACTGAGGATGGTGAAAATATTGATACTCCGAAGAGGAAGGGTGCCATTAATGACCGAATGGAGGACCTTGTGAGCGCTCCTTTGGCAGTTGAAGATGCTCTTGTGGGCTTATTTGATCACAGTGATAACACCCTTCAAAGGAGGGTTGTGGAAACTTATATACGTAGGCTTTACCAGCCGTATCTTGTCAAAGGCAGCATCAGGATGCAGTGGCACAGATCTGGCCTTATTGCTACGTGGGAGTTCTTAGAAGAATACGTTGAACGGAAGAACGGGGTTGAAGACAAAACACTGGTGGAGAAACATAGTGAGAAGAAATGGGGAGTGATGGTTGTAATTAAATCTCTTCAATTTTTGCCAGCAATTATCAGTGCTGCATTAAGGGAAGCAACCAATAACTTTCACGATGCACTTAAAAGTGGTTCTGTCGACTCAAATAAGCACGGTAATATGATGCATATTGGACTAGTGGGCATCAACAACCAAATGAGTTTACTTCAAGACAGGTGCAGTTTCGGAAATTAAATACATTTTTTCGAACCTAATTTTTGTTTTTTTTTGTTTTTTCTTTGATTTGTCAAAGCATCAATGGTTGTATTGTAGTGTAGCTTAACTTTTTGGTCTTTTGCAGTGGTGATGAAGATCAGGCTCAAGAAAGAATCAATAAGTTGGCCAAAATACTCAGAGAGCAGGAAGTAGGGTCCATAATACATGCTGCCGGTGTTGGAGATATTAGCTGTATCATACAGAGGGATGAAGGGCGTGCTCCAATGAGGCATTCCTTCCACTGGTCAGCAGAAAAGCTATATTATGAAGAGGAACCCTTGTTGCGGCATCTGGAACCTCCGCTATCCATTTATCTTGAATTGGTCAGTTATTTCACGCTTCAAGTTCCTGTTTTATTATAGAAGGTGCAAAAGAAACATATTTCACTCATACGCTTGATCTTTAACTCATTTAATATTTGTCTGATTACAGGACAAACTTAAAGGCTATGAGAATATACGCTATACACCATCCCGTGATCGTCAATGGCACCTCTACACTGTTGTGGATACCAAGCCACAACCAATTCAAAGAATGTTTCTTCGAACACTTCTCAGACAGCCAACCACAAATGAAGGATACTCTGCTTATCAAAGGGTAGATGCAGAAACGTCTCGTACCCAATTGGACATGTCCTTTACTTCAAGGAGCATTTTTAGGTCCTTAATGGGTGCAATGGAGGAGTTGGAACTTAACTCACATAATACCACCATCAAATCTGAACATGCTCATATGTACCTCTACGTCCTACGTGAGCAACAAGTAGATGATCTTGTCCACTATTCCAAGTAATTATTACTGCAAACTTCTCCGTACATATACATATTTTTAATAATACTTATATTCTATTAGCGTAACGTAAAAAAGATTTCATCTCGTTCTTACAATTTTGGATGTTAATACCAGAAAAATCAACATAGATGCCGGTCAAGAAGAAACAACAGTAGAGACAATCTTGGAAGAACTGGCACAGGAAATCCATTCCTCTGTTGGTGTAAGAATGCATAGATTAGGAGTTTTTGTATGGGAAGTGAAGCTCTGGATTACAGCATGTGGACAGGCAAATGGTGCTTGGAGGGTCATTGTAAACAATGTTACTGGTCATACATCCACTGTACATGTAAGTTTTTTAGTTTCTTAAAAATTTAAAGGAAAACTTCCTGCATGCTCTTCCCTCTCAGATTCATGATTTTTAAAATTCAGATATATCGAGAAATGGAGGATGCCACCACTCATAAAGTGGTTTACAGTTCAGTCACAGTAAAGGGTCCACTGCATGGTGTACCAGTGAACGAAAACTATCAACCTTTGGGAGTTATTGACCGAAAACGTCTCGCAGCAAGAAAGAGTAGCACCACATACTGCTATGATTTTCCCCTTGTAAGTTATTTTGAATGAATTTAGTGATAATTTCCCCTTTGTAAGTCAAATTAGGTTATCTGATGAGAAATGCTTCTTGCAGGCGTTTCAAACATCCTTGGAACAGTCATGGTCAATTCAACAGACAGGAGTTCAAAGAGCCAAAGATAAGGATCTCTTAAAAGTAACTGAGCTTAAATTTTCAGAGAAAGAAGGTAGCTGGGGTACTTCTCTTGTTCCTGCAGAGTGTCCTCCTGGACTTAATGATGTTGGCATGGTAGCCTGGTTGATGGAAATGTGTACTCCTGAATTCCCATCTGGAAGGACAATATTGGTTGTTTCGAACGACGTTACATTCAAGGCTGGTTCTTTTGGCCCAAGGGAGGATGCCTTCTTTAGAGCAGTAACTGATCTTGCCTGTGCTAAGAAAATACCTTTACATAGATAATAATTTAAATAAAAAATATATATAATAGAAAAGAAAAAAAAAATCAAGACATAAACAAAAGTCATGGCGACAGTACCGAACCGTCGTAATCAACAATTAAAAATAATCAACAAAAGTCATGACGGTATCGAACCGTCGCCATAAACAATTTAATCAATTTCAAAAGATATCCACGACAGTATCGAACCGTCGCCATCAATAATTATAAGAAACTCAAAAGATAGTCACGACGGTATCAACCCGTCGTAAACTTGAACGACAGTTTTTGTAACTGTCGCGAAATAGGTTGGGGACACACACTTCTGCGACGGTAAAGCAACCGTCGTGGAAAGCAAATTGCGACGGTTTTAACCGTCGTAATCTACAAAAATACCTGTCGCAATCTGCCAATTTTCTTGTAGTGTTAATGGTCCACATCAAGGCAACTCGCATATAAAAGTTTTGTTTACGGGATATATCATAAGTCCATTCTCCATTATTCCACAACCTCTTCAAATCATCAATTAAAGGTTGTAAGTACACATCAATTCCGGTTTTTGGACTCGACGGTCCTGGAATGACGCACGTCAAAAACATGTATGGTTTTGTCATGCACATCTCAGGAGGGAGATTGTAAGGGGTTACAATAACTGGCCAACAAGAATACGCACTTTCGGACGCTTGGACATATGGAGCAAAACCATCAGAGCATAATCCAAGCCTGACATTTCTAGGTTCAGCGGCAAAATCAGGATGTACCTCATCAAAGTGCTTCCATGCATGGCCGTCAGATGGGTGTCGCATATTGCCTGGGCTTGTTTTGTTTGTATGATGCCATGTCATTTGACTTGCACTGTGCATTGAAGAAAACATTCTTTTTAACCTTGGTATTATAGGAAGATAAAACATGGACTTTACTGCTACCCGTTTTTGGTTACTGTTAATGGCTCTATTGCGAACTTTATATCTTGGACTATGACAAAACTTACATTCCTCTGACGATCCATCTTGAGTACCAAACTCGTTGTCATAAAACAACATACAACCATTAGTGCAACAATCAATCTTTCTTACTCTTAAACCCAACTTCGACACCAACTTCTTTGCATCATAGAAACTCGCAGGCAAGTTATCTTTCGTTGCAGTTGAGTCCAACATCATTTTTGCGAAGTGCTCCAAACACTAATCAGGAACATTCCAATTTGACTTGGCGGCCAATAATCTAACACACATTGATAGCTTTGAGTCTGACGACCCCTCAAACAACGGCGTATTCATCTCATTCAACAACTGATAAAATCTCTGCGCTTCCTCATTCGGCAACTCTTCCCCGTCAAAGTCTTCAGGTTGATCATAGGTCACGTTAACACCAAAAGCATCACCAACCATGTCACCTATCAGATTAAAGTTTTCTTCAAATTCCATAGGTGGTTGCATAACCGGTTGACTACTTGAAGCATCTGTGTTGCTAGTCTCTGGTACATTACTCGACAGTGTTTCACCATGATGCGTCCAAACCCAATAATTTTCAATGAAACCTTTCCTATGCAAATGACGTGTTATTTCCTCTGGGTCACTAATTATATATCTACATCCACATTTAAGAAAAGGACACCTAACTCCTCCTTCACTTCGACAACGTTCCTGGGCAAACGTCCACGCGATAAAACCATTAACCCCGTCTATAAAATTGGGTTTAAGTGCGCGTCTTCCTGGATATAGTCTATCGTACATCCAACTACGATAATACATATAATATTCCATTTACTGCAAATTTATATAATCAAAACTTATTTAATTAGAAATATTAATTAATCAACTTAATAATAATCCTAAACATATACAATTAAAGATAAATATATGCTTTCAACAATATTTATAAACTCCTAAAAATATTTTTAAACACTTAAAATTTAATTTAAACACCTAAATTTTATAAACTCCTAAAAATTTAAAAACTAATTAAACTCCTAAAAATTTAATTTAAACACTTAAAATTTATAAATTCCTAAAAATATTTATTTATGTTTAAACACTTAAAATTTAATTTAAACACCTAAATTTTATAAACTCCTAAAAATTTAAAAACTTATTAAACTCCTAAAAATTTAATTTAAACACTAAAAACTTATAAACTCCTAAAAATAAAAAAACTTAAACTCCTAAAATAATTAAACTCATTCATCATCACAAATTAATAATTAATAATTATTATAAACTAAATAATTAAACCTAACATTTAACTCAAATACAGAAAATATATATATATATATAACCCAAATTCAACAATTTTAACCCAATGCAAATTAATCAAAATCAGAAAATATACTAATTTCAAAAAAAAAAATTCAAGACATACCTTTTATCTTGTAACTCCTTCAATCTTCTTGTCCCTATTTGCAATCTATACTTCTATATTCTCCTTCTCTATTCAAAGAAAAATTGAAAAAAATTTATACTCAAAATAACACATCAAAGGCAATTAACAAAGTATATAAAACTTGAAATTGAAATTACCTTACAAAATGGATGAAGATGGTAGGAATTAAAGAGTGGAGAAGAAAATTTTTTTGGGAAGAAAATGGGTATGGTTGAAGAGTGGGGAAGAAACTTTTTTGTGAAGGTTGAAGATGAAGAAGTGAGACAAACAGAACGTTGTGGAACGTTTTCATAAATTGCATAAACCACTTAGCGACGTGAAAATCACGCCGCAACGTTGCCACGTGATTTTCATGTCACAACAAATTTATAACTGCTATCTCTTCCTTCAAAGCCTGCACACGCCTGTCTTGGAAGTTGTGACTGAATTAAATTTTGTCATATTTTAATTAGCGACGTGAATCCCACGTCGCTACTTTTTTTAATAAACAAACGTAACTGACACACTCAATGTATCAGTTTTATATTATTAAAACACGTTGCCACGTGATTTTCACGTCGCAACTGGTTTTATTTAGCCACATGAAAATCACGTGGCAACTTCACGTGGCTGGGGAAGCTTTTTCTTGTAGTGCTATTTGCTATATTCAAACACTTGAAACTTGATTTGAAGATGAAATAAATGACCATGCAACATTCTATGCTCTAAAATTTAAAATTTAACATTTAAATATTAAAACATAGAAAAAAAATGTCTTCGAATATGTGTATCTAAAATATACTGATAAATATGTTCGAATGTACGTATATAAAAAGTATTTTCAAATTTTCAGTAGTATAAACCACTACTATTGAATATTAAATGTAAAGAAAAATTCTGGAAAAAAAAGGTGTGTAGTTGCTGTAGGATAGTACGAGAAAGAGTATGTAGACTTGTGGTTAGAAATGATTTTGGTTCATTGAAAATCTCGTCAACCCGTAAGACCACATGATTCATTTAACATGCTAAGCAATTCTAGTACGTTAAGGCACTTGGAGGCTTTTTGTGGGAGGTTTCTACTCATTTTTAGACCACAACTACAAAACGTGATTAGGTGGACAAATTTGAACCACCAATTTCAAATCAACTGATTTCAATCGTTCTTTTTGTTTACTCTCTCCAATTTAAAATGGTTATGCCTAAAGTTTCTACACATAAATTATATAAAATGTAATAATAATATAAAAGATATTACATTTTTACTATAATAACTTTATAAGTATGTTAGAAATAATATAAAGGTTAATAATTAAAAGGTATACTTTTCCATCTCCTTCATTTATTTCTTCATAATTTAAACGGTGTTTAACATTAATTTCATTTACTATTTATATCAAATTATTTTTATTTATTTTTATAAAGTGGCTTTAAGAAAAGAATCTATACCAAATTTGAAGGATAACGGTAAGTGGCTAAGAATAGTGACGCGGCAAAGGCATGCAATAGTAAAATAGGAAAAGACAGAGAGGGTATTCTTGTATTTGAACTTTCACCTCAGCCTCTATATAAACGTTAACTTTCATCTCATAAAATCACAAACCAATTCTAATTTCTGTTTTCTAAACCTAATTTCCTCACCTCGATCTCGCCGTTGCCCTGTTTCAATTTTTTTTCTGCATTCTCTGTAAGTGTTTTACAATTAACTTCTGTAATAATCTCTTATATGATTAAGGATTTCAATTTCTGATGATTTTGATTTTGTTCGATTTAGGTTATTTAATCCCAAATCTTGATTTGAATCACAGAGGGAAAATCGAAAAACGGATCGATCTCTAATTGTTAAACAACAGTGAGTTTCTAGTCCATTTTCATTTTTGTTGGTGTTCTGTTAGGTTATTGGTTATTCCGTGTTGTTGCATGATAGCATTTGATGATTTTGTTGAAAATCATTTTTGATGCTTGAGGATCTGTTTATGATGATTTAGGAATTCTCAATGTTTCTTATATTTGCTGATAATTGTTTGAAAATTGTTATGATATTGTATTGTTTGAATGTCATGTACAGTTTAATTGATTTATTATTTTATACGACTCAGATTTGCTTCTATGCTGTTCGCTTTCAATTGCATTTCTCATAATATGGTTATTTTCGATGTATGTGTTGCTCAAGATATATTTTTTCCTGCCACAAGTTGAATTTGTTATGATTTCCAAATTTTTTTCCTTTTGTAGTTTCTACTAAAAAAAACCCAGTATTTATGATTATTTTTTTGTATGCGATTATTGGCCTATTTTGTTGTTGATTTTTTTTTTTGCTCTATGTGGTTTTCTTTATTTCAGGAAGGTGTGAATGAAGTAATGGAGTCTAAAGGTGGTAAGAAGAAGTCTAGTAGTAGTAGTAGTAAATCCTCTTTATACGAAGCTCCTCTCGATTACATCATTGAAGACGTTCGACCTAACGGTGGAGTAGAAAAATTCAAATCTCCTGATTACTCTAACTGCACCCGCAAACCCTCCTGAGATTTTCTGGCTTCTGTTAGATTTAGCTTTTTTTTTTTTATCTTTCATACTGCAAATTATTCTACTTTCCTCTTCTCCTCTCCTTTTCCTCCTCCTCCTCCTAGCTGCTTTTCTCTACAAACAACGAAAATTAGAAATTTTT